TCTTTGAGCATATAAAAGTCTAGCTGCAGTTATCATATATAGAAACAAAAGTCCATGAGCTTTTTCCAATTGTTTGTCCATCAGTCCCAGAAGGAAAACCTCTGGTTTTAACTATATATTAACTTTCAAGATCTTCTGAATTAATATATGGATTTGAGTCCAAATTTTTTTAGCCTTATTACATGTCCACCAAAGATGCTAAAAAGTCCCTAATCATAAAATTTCTTGAGTTTTCAGTTATCTCAACTACAGGATCTTATATATTCTCTTCTGACATCTCACAAAATTTTGGCCATTTAAAAATAGTTTAATTTTAGAGATGTGTGGATATTATTTAAGGGCATTGGGGACACTCTGTTGCTGAACCCTTGTCTAGCTCCTCACAGGAAATTCTGGTTCAAATCTTGGTATTTTGTCATTGTGGAGACTAGGCAATCTAAACAACCATCACAAGATCCTTTTCAGTTCAAACACACCACAATTTTAATCTTTGGGGAGATATATTACACTTTTTAAGTTGTAAGGAAATGCCTCTTTTCAACCTAATATAATAAAATCCTTTGAAGACTCTAATTTACTACAGGGTTCCATTTTTTTTTCTGTGCATCACATGATGGGAGTCTCAGAGTGCTGACTTCTCCCAGATAGCTGTTGAGAATATAGCAATTTATTCATAAATTTTAGAGATCATGCAACTCTTAACATTGTATGGTAACGATAACAACATCTATCCAACTTTACAGTGTGTAGAGTCAGATTAGGGAGGTAAAGAAACACAAGTACTTAGAAATAAAGATACAGAGATCAAAAGACAACAAAGGAATGTAGTAAGGTTGGCCTGACCAATTGAAAATGAATCACTAGCAAATATTTCACTGCCAGCCAGTTCAGCGTCAGTTAAGACATTTTAAAAATGGATCTTGGCATTCATGAGGCCACGCTGGGAGGAGCAAATTAAAATTTCATAATTATTTGAAGAGGTGGTTAAAGGATGGGGAAATCAGACTGTACTATTTCACAAACTCTTATACCAGCAACAAACATGGGATTGTCATGCAGACATTTAAATAACTGTGGTGGTGACTTGGTTCTCTGAATCCTTATGTATCTATAGGATTCTGCCACTACTATCTGCCCCAAAACTGGTAAAGCAACTGATTGGCTGTATTTCTTCTATAAGATTAAAAACAAACAAACAAACAAACAAAAAATAATAAAAATAAAAAT